ACACACACACACACACACACACACACACACACACACACACGAAACACAGCTGTCTGACCAGCACAGACACATGGATGTGTCCAGGACAGTCCAGGATTGGCAGCTGGTTTGTCTGTTCGGAAATCGTGAACCTGTCGCCACCTCTTGTTCCGTATCGATCTAGGGATGAGCGATTGGAGCACATTGCGTGATCATGCATGGTAGGAACACAACAAAATTTACCTATATGCTTGTGAATGTCGAAGTCACAACGGGTGTTCGGATTCAAAACCGGTCGCAGATTGAATTGGAGCTGAACGCCACAGAAGACGTGTGAATGAAAGTGGGTTAACGAATGTCAGACACGATATGCAGGATGGTGCGTGTTGGATAGATGGCATTCTGGGGATCCATCAATGAAATAAGGCTCAAAAGCTACATGATTCACATATACTCCACCCCCACATATACACGCGCGCATACACCTGTTCCATAATAAGGAGAGAAAATAGTCAATTGGGTCACATCCAGTAGATATGGTATGAAAGTAAGGAGGGAGAAACCGTGATCTGGGTCAAACCCCGAGGTGCCCTCTGATTCATTATCAAGTATGCAAACGTCACTGCTTCCTTCCGAGTATGTCTACCGAGAAGCGGCATTGGGGGAAGTTCCGTTCGAGAAAGAGAGTGAGAAAGAGTTCCCGCAAAGTCATATCCCAGAGCTTGCATCAGGGGACCTGCCGCTGATGATCGAACCAAAAAATTCCTAGCATGAAGTAATTGAAAAAAGCAATATCTTAATTATCCTACACTTGAATTACTACCCTCCCCCCCCCAGAAAAAAACTCATTGATCTTTTTCTTGTGACCAGCAGATTTACCAGCTGTTNCAGCTGTTTGATTTCAATTCACGAAACCACCTTCGAGAGAGAGAGGAAGAGAGATAACACAGCATTCGGACTTTACCGTTTCCCTGATATCCTAGTTTTCTATCGCTCCGTTGTCCTTCTGTGAACTTTTCTAATCCATGTGCTACATGACTTAAAATTAAAATCTGCGTGTATGTTTCCATCAAAAACAAGTTTTTCCTTGATTTATTTGATCAGTTCAACTTTAAATTGGTATGCGGTGAAAAAACATGCATGCAAACACCCAAACAATGCTTTAAATGCAGTCTGTCTCGTTTTCACTTCAACAGTAAATCCGGACTCATTTAGAGATTACACGGAATGTGTTTAACGTCCTATGCTTATCGAGCACGTGCTCAATCGATAGGGGTATAACAGTGATGAGGGGTGAGGTCATGTTGAGTCGAAATGAATGAGAAAATCTTAGCGTGTCTCTGAAGTCAAACTGTGGTTTCACTCCCGGACAGTTTAGTTTTACAACACATTGTTGACTGGATCAATACGGTCAAACGATCGCTGACATGTGATTTGGTGACTACAACTCAGAAAAGAGCAAACCCCCTCACACTTCGGGCTGGTTGAGAATGATCAATACGAAGTTCGCCATGCAACATCGTGTTCTGTGTTCTCGCACTNCCCCAGCCATAATGGATATTCCACGTGAGAGAAATAAAGCGAATGCAGTCATTGAACTTATCGAAATACTGCAACACAGCAGATTACTTGATGATGGTGTTGTGGATCTATCCGTTTGTGAAGAACGTTACGTGAAAACCATTTTTGATACTCTGCAACATATCAGTCTGGCAAGTGATACACCGCAGTCTACGTATGAACCTACGACGATTGAGCACACGACAACATCATTCAATACAACTATTAGCCATAGGTATGAAACTCCCACATTCAGACCACGCAAAACGGAGAATTTTAAAACGGAATTATGTCAACGCTATTTGAACAGTCCGAATGGTGAGTGTAGCTACGGGGAAAAGTGCCTGTTCGCTCACGGACTGAACGAGTTACGTCTCACCCTGAGACATCCCCGTTACAAAACGGAACATTGTCGAAATTTCCGTTTGCACGGGACCTGTCGATATGGTCCGCGTTGCACCTTCATACACAATGAAAACACCGAACAGATTCAGGCCCTACAACTCCTGAACGAACTGATTTGGGCATTCAGAAAATCGCATCCGAATATGACAGATGTCCGAATCGTCGACCTGTTGGATTGGAGCACTGATTGTGGAACGAGTTTAGAAAATGCACTGGCTGATGTATCGTGCGATTCCATTCCCTACACACCGGTGACAAAAGTGAGACCAGTAACCTCGATCAATAACTGACGTCGTGTACCTCGTTTAAATAACTCTAAATGCTTATATATTTATATTTACTTCATATATCTATCGAGAAATATTACATGTAGAAGTGATAGGTGAAAACTTCCAGGGATATGTGTAAGCAATGGACTCGTCGGAACAAATCCGACTCATAATGTATGTATTCCAATTAAACGTATGGACTCTCTGATTCCATGTACCCTGATTTACTTCTTATTGGTCTTTACACAGTTTGATGCTCATTTGCGTAATATATGTATTTTTATTTGTAAATTTATGAATAAATTCATTTTCACTATGTGGGTTTCGGGCAAGAGTGTGGTTGTATGAATTTAATCTACTAGAACATTTCTGTATTTGCTCCGTTTTGGGGCGAATAGAGACCGAATTAGTAGTACGTTACACGGCTGCTATTGGTATCTGATCTGTGGGATTCAAGCCACCAAATTTCCACTTTTGAACCCGAAACTCATGTGCATGAGCTTTGACGGGCTCGCAGAAGTTAACGTGTTGATCACAATGATACCATGCCCAGATTTATAGAGTTGTGGTGATTGCACGAAAACTACGACCTCGTTTGTTTTACGGAACACGATATCCTTGTACATTCTCGCTTTTTTCGCTTATTATAATTCAATTTCAGTGCTGCATTGTGATTTCATTCCGAGTTCCAGTGTTGGGTTGACTTATTACTTCGCGGATCTCGATACACACACCAGTTACTAGTCCGAGCGCAAATCATAACAAGAGTTCACACGAATTCACAGGCATCAAGGACTGTCTGGATCACACCATATACTGAGTGCGATGTATGTGCATTTGCGTTCTTTTGTCCCCCATACAGGATGGAAGTGAGACGGGTGTCTGCTCGTAGTGATGAGGTTGGGGAACCAAAGGAATGAAATACCGTCCTTCGTCTTATATGCCAGATCTTGAACAATTTCCCGTGCATAAGTGGATTGCGCGTACGCCCACTCTCCCTCTCTCTCTCTGTCCTATTTCGAAACGGATTTCAATCGGGGCGTTCAATTTATTATCGTATTCGTTTACTCCTGCTGCGGGGTTCAAGAGCTATAATTCTATTACCCTAACTGTCTCTACAAAACGGCACACAAGTGATGCATCTACTTCAGAATTCCCCTTTGAGTTGTCATGAGAGCACAGGTTAGCAACCAAGCTTGTTTTCGGTGTCACGCCAATTGGTTAAATGAAAGCACAGTTTCTAATAGACTAAACAAGTTGTGGGAGGTGAGACGTCTCCCTGAAACCATCATTGATCGTTACCCGAGTTGATTGATTCAGGGATTGACAAGGACCGGGGTGACGACAATTATAAACTATTTGACTGAGTCTTTCCGCACAGTGAGGCGCGTTCCGTTCGCTCCGTGCGGTCAATGGAAGTGCGGCCAAAGAGATTAGCTCCATAACCGAGGGAATTGACACTCGTCACCACCCCCTTAGGGGCCCAGAAATAGTTTGTTAGAACATTTCTCCGAAAACAAGCTTGTTCACTGACCTGTGTTCTAATGATGTCTCTGCGATGAAATTGACACTATCATGGGTAAGGCGCATCGGGGGGTCACCTAGACATCCATCTTGGTGCAGAAACCCTTGGGAGTAGCAGTGTTTGGTGGCAAATCTACGCTAGCATTCAAACTCTTGGTGTGTTGTAAATCTGGAGCTGGACACGGCTGGTTGGTAGTTGAATGCAACGGAGAACCGACACCATCAGGGAGGGGGAGTTATCCGACTCATCTGGGCCATCTGAGGCGATGGAGAGTTGGCGATGCATCGTCACACTAATAACGATAATATAGATACACATACATAAACCCAACTCTAAAAGAATAATTGTGAATTGGTTTAATAGGTCAGCGCTGAACGGCTTTTGAAAAAAAAATAATTCTCCACCCCGATGGATGATTCGAAAAGTTTTATTGACCGCTTTGAACCTTTTGTCTAATACCGTCGGAAAATGCGTCCATGGCGATTACTCATACGAGTTTCTTGTTGCAGAGGACTGTTGTCATGTCAGGCAAATTATTCGTGTCCACATATCGCTGTTTACTAGAGGCTCTATAGCATATTTCAGGCTTTCCATAAAGGTTGTAAAGCAGTGTATTGTTCAGTTGTGATGAGCGCGTCAAACACTACAATTTGAAAAGACTTGGTAATCGGTAGCATGGAGATGACCTTTTCCCATAAAGCTTTAGCCAAAACCCGCAATCCTTGAACCCGTACTGCTGTAGCCTCGAAACAAACATTAGTCATGTCGCTGTAGGTTTCAGTTTCAGTTTCAGTTTTTACAAGCATTAACTTTCGTGAGCCGGTTTTGGTTGCTTTCTTTTGGTGCCCCATGTGGATAGAACAACAGAAAAAAGATTAGAATGTTAAAAGCAAATTCAAGCGGAAGTTGGAGTATTTATATAGAGTGATTAGGATAAAAATGAGTGGATGCACGAGCGCCACTGTTTGCGACATCCAGCCATATCACGGTGTACCTGATCATCATCCCGAGGTCCCCAGCCAGGGAGCCTAACGGGGCTTATGTGACCTAGTGTCCTGGTTATCATATCGTCATGCTAGGTCTTCGTCTGACCACCCTTCATCTTTTTCCAACCGCTACCTGCCTCGGCAAACATCATTCGCAAAGGCAACCTATCTGGTGACATGCGTAAAACATGCCCCAACCAACGTATTCTATGAAGGTCGATCACTTGCTCCAGTGGACGACCGCGACTGCC